CCTTTTCCGGAAAGCGGTATATCTCCACATACCGCCGATCTTATATATATATAAGTATATGTACATACAGTGACGAGCAAAACTGTAACATGGTGTAACACTTTTTATTTCAGCCACCGCTATCTTTCCAAGTTCTAACGACATTCATACTTTTGTTGTATATTCTTATCGGTACACCTGTACTTCCCCTCTTATAACGAATTTAAGTCAATCCAACAACAATAATAAAACCAGCAGACAAAAAAGTAAATTAAGGCATATGCTACAGTTTTGCACTTATATATTTTTAACAACTTTTTGACAATTTTCACGAAAAAAAAGAATTGTTAACACAATGTTCAGTATACTTTTGCATTTTTTAGTTCCTGGATGCAATTTGGCATACCTTATTTGTATCTCTGTGAAAATTCTGGAGGTATAGCCTCCCATGTATCCTTGGTTTGCTTTCATAGCTCATGTACTCCATTGGACGGACTTGCATACTCAGTAAGCCGCGCTTTTAGTTGATTTCGCAAATTTTCGACGAGATTCATATCCGGGGATTGTGGACGTCAAAATAGCAAATTTTTGCTTTTGCATTCAGTCTTTGCGAACATATGCAACAACCCCAAATTATTATTGACCGACTACTGTGATTCACAGTTTGCCTTACATGATGCGCTTAGGCTTAATTTGGGTCTTTGATCTAATACCATGCCCGGCCATCTGATTGAAAGCGATTAATTTAGTCTTGTCATACCAACTAACCTTCAATTAAATCTTAAAAATGTGTTTTTTTTATTGCATTCTGTAAGGCCTAACATATCCCAATAGGCAACGGTCCGGTTTTCGTGCGATCCGGCAAAATGCTACCACTCTCGCACATGAATTTTGATCAAAATTGTTTTTTCTTCCATTATTATGCCTTTGCGTTCAATTTGACAATTCTTCGCCTCGTTGGCTACTGATTTGCATTCAGTTTTAATACCTTAAGCGCTGCTGTAATAGTGGCTGCAGCGCTACTTGCTACTAAGCTCACAAGATATCGGACCGTAATATTTTTTGGCAGAATTCCTTTGTCCTTAATAACATTTTAGGCTATATTTCTCAGTCCTAACATTTTCATGTGGCGAGCTCCACAATTTTCGCCACTTTTCCCACGGCCCGCGTTTCCGCAGTTAATCTATTATTTACATCTATGTTTCCTGATTAATCATATTATCTACTGGTAATCACTTCTTCAATAAATTACAATACAGAAAAAAGTCATCTGACTTCCACCTAAGTAAAAGATAACTGTCAAATGCAAAACTTAGAGTGAGTGCAAAACTGTAACATTTGCCTTAATTTACACTTTTGGCTGCTGGTTTTATTATTGTTGTTGGATTCACTTCAAATCTTTATGAGAGAGGGGGTAAGGGCGTACCAATAAGAATATACAACAAAAGTATGAAAGTCGTTAGAACTTGGAAAGACAGTGGTGGCTGAAATAAAAAGTGTTACACCATGTTACAGTTTTGCTCGTCACTGTATATACAAATTCTGATATATACCCCAAAATAAATTCCGTTGCAGTTTATATGCCTACTGTGTCCCACTGTTCAAGAACAAAATATTAGCACATTAAAATCAAATAGGCTCCTCTGCTTACCAATTTTTGCCGTTGGTCGCATAGTTCGTTGAACTTGGCTAAACAAATTGCCGAACAACATAAGTACATATAAGCATTTTTACCAGTTGCATTTTCTGCAACTATTCGCTTAATAGCTAAGAGAGGCGCTGTTGTTCATCGGACAATACAGTCCACATATACCAAACGCACTCTAATTTTCGCGTTTTGAATACCCACTAAATTTGATGCGAAAAGCATCAAGTTGGCAACAGTGAATGTAAACAAAAGTATTTTATGACGTCAGCGATTGGATGGATGCTGTCAAATCGACGAAGAGAGGGTTAGCGGTCCGCGAATGGTGCGACCTTTATTTTCTGGATCGTGATATATACAGTGACGAACAAAACTGTAACATGGTGTAACACTTTTTATTTCAGCCACCGCTGTCTTTCCAAGTTCTAACGACTTTCATACTTTTGTTGTATATTCTTATTGGTACGCCCTTACCCCCTCTCTCATACATACATACGCACTATAATCAAAACAAAATTCTCTGTTGTTTTCGTTTCTTAACTCACCACTGCTGTGACAAAGCATAGCTTAGCCATATACTCGGCTTCATACGTAAATATTTGCACATACGTACATCTTTACATTGCACATATTCTGCACATTTGTACATACGTGCTAGCAAAGAATATTATCAGACGAATATTATCCATAACGCGATAATAAGTGAGTTCAAGATATTTAGATACATGCAACCCAGTAGGGAAAACTTCCAAATTGCATTTGTTTAGATAGTGATAAATAACCAATACTTTTTCAGTATTTAAATAACTATTTATATCAAATTAAATATTTATACATACGTATATTTCACCACGTATATAACAGTGAAAAGTGTTTGTGATTTTTTTTCTCTTACTGAAATTTTTCAAATCCATATTCCGCGGATTTAGTTGGGACGCCCCGTTTTCCACGTTATAAAAAGTGCTGAACCACAAATTAAAGCAAATATAATTTCACGTAATTTGCAAGAAACAAAAACACAAACACCGCCACAAAATCTTAAATTTTTTTTCCTAATTCTCTGTGGCACGAAGTGCAATTTTTTTCTCGTTTGACACATATTTTTCTAATTTTTTTCGAACGTTATCTGGGTGGTACTCAGTAAAATTTGATTAACTCTTCTCTCAATTTTAATACGTTTGACCTTCCACGAGAGTTAAAATGCCACTTGGACACAGTCCACCAAAAATGTCTGAAATCGAGACAAGGTCAAAAAATGCTTCACAAGAAGCCACCGGTGGTAAGAGGGAACCCTCAACGCGCCCGAAATCTAAAACTTTTGACCCATCCGCTCAAAAGTTTATAGCGGAAAGTGACAGTATCATGAGATACTGTGCAAAATTCAGTGCTACACCAATCCAAGACCACACTGAATCATATCGTATGATAAAAGACAAATCACTAGACGATTGCTGGGCACGGCTTCAGTCCGCTTACGATTTGGTATTTTCAAAGCCAGATGACAGCCTACCCGAAAACCTTAAGAATTCGGTAGAAGGCAAGTTCTTCACTTGCCTTGAATTATATGAGGTGACCAAAGCTAAAATTGCCGATCAACTGTCGTTGATTAGAGCAATCGTCGCACCGAGTCCACCACCCCGCGTGGAACACACCTCGGCAGACGCAAACGTTTTTCTACAAGTCCCACCTTGTGACACGGAGACATTTTACGGCGGTTAGGAAGAATGACCTGCTTTTCGTGACATGTTCACAGCGGTGTACATCAACCACCCGAAGCTCTCCCGTGCTCAAAAATTGTATCACCTCCGATACAAAACCCAAGGAAAAGCCGGCTCCATCGTCAAGCAATACCCGCTCAGCGATGATAACTTCGAACTGGCCTGGGAAGCTTTACGGTCACGATACGAAAACAAACGTATCCTGGTTGACAACAAAATTAAAATTATGACNCGTGTGACCTTCCACAGCATTAAAAATGCCACTTGGACACAGTCCACCAAAAATGTCTGAAATCGAGACAAGGTCAAAAAATGCTTCACAAGAAGCCACCGGTGGTAAGAGGGAACCCTCAACGCGCCCGAAATCTAAAACTTTTGACCCATCCGCTCAAAAGTTTATAGCGGAAAGTGACAGTATCATGAGATACTGTGCAAAATTCAGTGCTACACCAATCCAAGACCACACTGAATCATATCGTATGATAAAAGACAAATCACTAGACGATTGCTGGGCACGGCTTCAGTCCGCTTACGATTTGGTATTTTCAAAGCCAGATGACAGCCTACCCGAAAACCTTAAGAATTCGGTAGAAGGCAAGTTCTTCACTTGCCTTGAATTATATGAGGTGACCAAAGCTAAAATTGCCGATCAACTGTCGTTGATTAGAGCAATCGTCGCACCGAGTCCACCACCCCGCGTGGAACACACCTCGGCAGACGCAAACGTTTTTCTACAAGTCCCACCTTGTGACACGGAGACATTTTACGGCGGTTAGGAAGAATGACCTGCTTTTCGTGACATGTTCACAGCGGTGTACATCAACCACCCGAAGCTCTCCCGTGCTCAAAAATTGTATCACCTCCGATACAAAACCCAAGGAAAAGCCGGCTCCATCGTCAAGCAATACCCGCTCAGCGATGATAACTTCGAACTGGCCTGGGAAGCTTTACGGTCACGATACGAAAACAAACGTATCCTGGTTGACAACAAAATTAAAATTATGACGACTTTGCCGACTATTCAATCCGAGAATAGCGAGCAACTTCAAAGGCTGCAAACATCAATCAACAACTGTCTGTCAGTTCTTAATTCCCAAGACATCCAGACAGACGGTTGGGATCCCATATTGGTGTACATATGTTCATACAAATTGCCCGAAACCACACTGTCACTTTGGGAACAATCTCTCTCTTCTCGAAGAGATTTACCCTCATGGTCACAAATGGACGATTTTCTTACTTCATGATACGAAGTAGTCGAAAGACTTACCGGCTTCATCCAAGCCAAAATAAACAAAAACCAGTCGCACATCAAAATGCTGACGCACATCAAAATGGACGCAAACTTTTGTGGCAGAACCTAAGAGGGAAACAACTTACTCTTACTGCAAGTCCCCTCATCCCATTAGAGTATGCCCATTAAGTGAATTTCGGTACGNGCAGAACCTAAGAGGGAACCAACTTGCTCTTACTGCAAGTCCCCTCATCCCATTAGAGTCTGCCCACAATTTAAGCGAATTTCGGTACCGAACCGAGTACAATTCGCAAACCAAACCAAGCTGTGCAAAAACTGCCTTGGTAATACCCATAGCACTAATGAGTGTCCGAGCTAGTGGTCATATACACATTGCCAACAACGGCATCACGCCCTGCTGCACATGAATCCCAAACCACAATCTCGACACTCCAGTGCGCGAGCGAATGAAACCGCCGCACAACACACTACTGCCCAGTCGACACCTCCCGCTCGACAAGCGCAGTCAAGCTCCGATTCCAGCGAGCAACCGTGCTGTTCCAAACAAGCACAAATACAATCATTGCACACCGACAATGATAGCAAAATTCTCCTTCCAACTGCCATGGTCGCGGTTGAACACGAAGGGGAATTGTTTCAACTTGGAGCCTTGATTGATCAAGGCTCACAGAGAACTTTCATTTTCTCGAAAGTTCAGAAACGGTTGAAACTACCATTCGAACATTCCAAGTTCGAAATTTCCGGCATGGGTGGACACGTAGTACAAAGCTCCTCAAAGCTTTGTCCACTCACATTGGTTGCATCCCAAACCATGCAACGGATAAACACACAGGCTATCGTGTTACCTCAGCTCACGAGGCACATGCCTACATTCACCATTAGCCGTGAAAACTGGCAGCGATTCAAGATCCTTGAACTTGCTGACCCAAGTTGCCACATACCAGCTCAAACTGATATGGTAATCGGCAGCGATATACTTCCACAAATCCTGCTTGAAGGTATACAAAAGATTTTCGACACTATACTTGCGCAAAAAACAATATTTGGCTGGATTCTCAGTGGTCCAATAACCGAAAATGTGGTGTCATTCTCGACACAAGTAGAAGAGTGCTCGAATGCAACTCTCAGCTCTCAGCTTCGAAAGTTTTGGGAAGAGGAGGAGATTCCACAACCTCCACAAATTTCCCCTGAAGATCAGGCTTGTGAGCATATATATGCAACAACAACGACTCGTGCCCCAAACGGTCGATACATTGTGCGACTTCCATTCAAGGAAGAATTTCCAAAAAAGCTGTCTCTGGGCCACTCTCGGTCTGCTGCACTTCAGCAGTTTTTCAGTATGGAGCGATCGCTTCAGAAAAAAGGAGACTTAGGCACAATGTACAATAATGTGTTGCAAGAGTATCTCGACCTCGGTCATATGGAGCACACGAAGCCATGCGAGATAATTTCCAATGGCAAATACTTCTCTTTCTACTTGCCACATCATGCGGTCGTCAAACCAGATAAGGTGACCACCAAAGTTCGCCTGGTATTCAACATTCAACGCCTCAAAAACATCTGGTTCAGGAAAATCCCTGAATGACGTGTTGCACACTGGTCCCACGCTCCAGCCAGATCTCATGCTGCTCATTCTGCAGTGGCGAATGCACAGATTCGTGTTCAATGGCGACATTGAAAAAATTTATCGTCAAATACTCATCCACGAGGACGATAAAGATTTTCAGCGAATCTTGTTTCGCACGTCGGCTGACTCTCCTGTCACCGATTATAATCTCAAAACCGTAAAGTTCGGCGTTAATTGTGCACTATACCTCGCTATCCGTACCCTGCATCAATTAGCAGATGATACGATAGCG